AGTTTATTCATGTGCACTAATAGCACATGTAGACTTGCCCATTGTTTTCAAATTTGCTCCGCATTTTTGTGTGCTCAGGGAGAACAGGGTCTGACAGTAAGAGGAGGAGGGAGGGTCTGCCAGGGGAAAAAGTTGGGAGGAAGCAGAGAGCAAAGGGGCCACCTGACCCCCCCAGATTTATTTTCCCTGCTGTAGCAGTTGAGGGGGGACAAGTTCAAGGCAAACCTCCAATAATTAGATTCTATATCTGAAAAATTGTAACAAATTTAAAAATGTTCTGTATATACAATATAATTGTTGGGTGGGTATCTCTAAGGAAGGTTGTCTTCTATTCAGGTAAATATGGTGTATACCCTAGCCCCAAAGGAGTATTTTTAAGGATGACAGAACAGTCTCCACATATAGCCAGTCCTAAGCTTTTCTCAGAGACCAGTAATAACGGCTGCTGGAATTTCTGATTTAGACGCTAACCTGCTGTCAGATGCTCTCTAATTCTGTTCAATGCATATTGCATTGGCTGAGTGGGTATATTTATTGCTGGCCTCTAGGAAGGTTGCAGCTACTCAGATGTGCCTATGCCCCCTCCTTGTGACTGCAGCCTATGGAAACCTACTACCTTTATATCTAACAACTAACAGCTACAGTTACCAAATACTCTTCTTCAGCAACTGGTGGTAAGGAGTCCATGTTTTTGAAGTCATAGTGTTTGTCTTCCCTCTGTGGGAATGTCTACATGTGCAATTAATGCACACAAATAAACTCTGGAGCTGATTGTTCTGGAGTTTTTTGCTTTCAGGCATGCCATTTGAATGTGCAGCCAGGAGCAAAAAACTCTGGAGCAATATCCCCTGGAGTTTATTCATGCACAGTTTGTGAAGCCTGGTTGGAGCAGCCTGGGCTCGCAGGGAACCTGGATGGTCAGTATGCCAGCCCAGGGCTTCTCTGACCGGGCTCCACATGTTGTGGAGGGGCTGGCTGAGGCACAAGGGTGTTTCAGCATGGGGTTGTCTGCTGGCTAGCCCTGCACTGAAGCTCCCTGTGCCCCAGTCAACCGGGGCAGTGTCAACACATGTGCTGCTGTGTGTAAAAAAACTCCACAGCAGAGTAGTGCTTGTATTTCACAAGTACCACTGTGCTGTGGAGTTTATTAGTTTCATGTACCCTAATAGGGGCTCATGTGTAGATGCTGAAATATTTACTGAGTTAGTCAACTGTGCAGCAAATGTAGATGCACCCAGTTATGCTAAAAATGTGTGGTTTAGCAGATGACTATGTCTATTATTTGTAGTCATGCCGTGGTATTTTAATCATCTCTCATATTCCTTCCCTTGATGTGGTTAGGTGCTTGTTCTTAGCAAGAACCACAGCCTCATTTCACACATTGGCCCTTAAAGTTGTTTTCATATTATTATCTTGCCATATATCCTCCCTTCCCAGGCAGAGCTGTATGCAAACTACACCCCACCACTCTTGTTACCTGGTCCACATTAGTTCAAGAACAAGGAGATATGTCCTTCCTCATCCAGTGCAAGGATTTGCTTACAGACTTATTATCTTTATTGTGGTAGCACCCAGGTAATGGATCAGGAGCGCAAAAATGTTCCCTGTCCTTAGGAGCTTGAACAATATAGTTCCCAAAGCCATTAGTGTTGTGCATCTGCATACAGAGGGGTAGTTGGCCATGTTCATCTGAAGTAAGGCAGAAGGCATGGCAGGGTGACACCTTAGAGTAGTGGTTCTCAACTTTCTTACACTTGAGGCACCCCTGGATATACTTGAGGCACCCCACGGAAAATGCAGCTCTCAGTTTTCACTCTAACTACAGAAAAATAATAGAGCAGTTTTTCGGTTGCAAAATACTTAGAAAGACCCAGGGCTCTGTACTCGGACCAGTACTCTTTAATATATTTATAAATGATCTGGATTTGGGAGTCAGAAGCAGACTAGCTAAGTTCGCTGATGACACCAAATTATGGGGAAGTGTGGTCACGCTAGACAGGCTGGTGATTCAGACCAACCTGGACAGGCTTGCAAGCTGGGTGGATGACATTCAAGACACAGAAATGCAAGGTGCTCCACCTTGGGAGAAAAACCCACATCATACTTATAGGCTCAGCGGTGCTACATTCACCAGCACCACAACTGAAAGAGAATTGGGGGGTCATGACTGACCACAAGAATCAGTTCACTTGAAGAACAAGGGCTATCATGCTAAAAATGCTTTCTCCCACCTCTCTGAAGACAGCATCTGAGCAACCAAGATTTGAACTACAAATGATTTTGCCTTATGCAATAATATTCTCTCCCTATGTTCCAAATAATAGTGATAAGGAGTTAACAAGATGATTTAGGTCTGAGAACAATCATTCCTATTCTTTTAGACACTGGATGCCAATTATATTTGAATGCTTGTTTCAGAGATAGGGATAAATATATTTGCTATTTATAGTGAGATGTATATTCTAAAGGAGACAGGGCATATTCCTCATCATTTAGCTGTCTCTATCAATGTCTCTTCCCCCTCCCCAAAAGGATCTTTAATATATGCTGTGCTTTATTGCATACAACACACACCTTTTTCCAAAAATCAGCTGCCAGAAATTGGGGTGTACACTTTAAGGGATAAATATAGGACTAGCAGCTTCTGCAGCTTGAGCCCTTGCTGGGGAAGAAAGAGAAAATACTTGCATGGGGAGGCAGCACAGTGAGCATTCGAGACTCCTTAGCTGCCAATCACAGACACTTTCTTTCCCTTGGCAGAGGCTTGTGTTGCAAAAGCTGACTACCCACTCAGTTCAGTTTGAGAAGAGGGAGCTGGGCAGGTTAGCTCTGCCAGCAGCACCTGTTAACAGAACTGCCTTAATATTTTGCTCTCCCAGATTGCAGGCTTTCCATGGGGAAACACTGTATTTACCAGCATTTTCAAGGGAATATTGTTCTCCTGCATTCTACCTTTCAAAAACAGTGTCCAGGGCATGTTGTGTGAAATAATAGTATTAACTGTTTCCCTGTCACTATAGTGGCAGGGCACCAGCACTGCCTGTATCTTACCTTTTACTTGTGGTTTGCTATAGGCAGGGGTCAGCAGCATATGGCTTGTGGATTAGTCCACAGAGCCCAGAGGTAGGCTTTGCCCGTTCTGTGTCAACCAGGAAATGAGGAGGGCAGTCTATACTGGGTCATGGCAAGGCAGCTGAGGAAGCTTTGCTGACACTGCAGCAGGAGCACCAGCCCACTATAGACTCAGACAGGGTTGATCCCCCCGCCAAGGGTGTTTTAGATACTGTTTCCTGTAGTTGTGAGGGAAGATTTGAGGTGGTGATATGGAGGATTCCTTGAGTTAACAATTGCCTGTGAATGGAGGGGGACTGGACTTGATGGTCCAAGAGGGCCCTTCCAGTCCCATCTTCTACTTGAAATGGAACTTTAAAAACATAGGGCCCATACTTCTAGCATCTGAATGCAGGGTTTCCTTTAAAGTTAAGGAGTAGTTCAACCTGTCCAGTCAAGCCCATAATTGCATTATTGTGTCTAGTTACAGATCGCTACACTGTAGCCAAACCACCCAAACTAACAAGATTTGGTTTCATGCATTATCTGTCCAGAGTTTTCAATTTTTTACCATAAATGGCAATAGAGACAAGGTGCATTTAAATAAATATTTATTTGTTAAAAAAATAAAAAGCTATAAGAACAGCACACAATTAAAAGTTTTTGAATTACAAAGTGCATTTTATCATCCCAATACAAATTTGAATGAAAGATTGTTGCAAGTGTAGCTATTCATTGTACTTACTCTAAACTTTGTAAACTGTGTTTCCAAATGACTATTGTGAATTCTACTTTGAAGGTGAATGGATTTTTTCCCCGTATTTTGAAGGAGCTTGTTATGAAGATGAACAGAAATGGCACAATCTAAACTAAGTCTAATTTACTTCTGATTTGACTAGTAAAAAGAAAATTGCCTTTAAAAATATGTTTAGACTTCCTTTTATTTCAATGTAGATTTTCTGATGGATTGGAAATGCAGGGGAAGGGGGGGGGGGGGGGGGAAAGAGGCATGGAAATGGAACCTGTGCATGTGGTCCATACCATGCCTCTGGATTACAATAAATAATCAATCATTCATTAGCAGAACAGTATTTTTACTAAATGACATTATGCCATACAAAGAAGACATAAGATGTCTAATGTTGAAGGGAGCAACACACCTTAGCTTCCTTTATTGGTTGGAGAATGAAATGACAGAAGTTATGTATACCTTTACATCCAAGCACTGCTATACCTTAGAATTGGGGAGAATGAACTGAAGGTTGATAGAAAAAGAAAAAACAAATAAATAAAAGTGAACAGCTGGATTCACCTTTGGCTCTAGTTCAAACTCCCCTGGAGTCAGGATCAAGGTCCTTGCATGCTGTACAATTTTCCTGTATTTGCTAGGAACGCTTTTCTTAAGACAGGGCTCTAAGGAGTGCAGAACAGAACTGACCAGGGTTAGGTTATGGTTAAATATATCATTTTCTTCCTGTGGCTCATGTTTAAAAAAAGCTCAAGCCATTGAAATAAATCCATCTTTCACATTTTGACACTGCACTGTCACATATTATGCTGAAACAGTGGCACTTCCGGCAAATACATTAGCACAGCAGTTCTTAAGCTCTTCTCTATGGCTGAGAGCCATCCCTTCCCGATATCTGCAGACTGATAACCAAATTGTGCAATGGATAGATTCACATGAGGGTCACAAAACAGCTCTTACAAGGCAGTTGTTTGTACCATTGCATTAAGAGAACATAATATTTTCCGATTGCACTGGGTATTAAGTCTCCACATTAGAAAAGGCACCTGCCATAAAGTGTAAAATACTTTAAATACATACAATAAAATAGCGTCCTATTAAGAAAATATAAAAATATATATATATATGGCAACATATAGTTTTTTTCCTGAGATGGGCCTTTTTTTTTTTTTTGCAGTCCTGGGGTCACAACACTCTAGTTTCCTTTGCAGTGGAATCTAGACCTTTTCTTCATCAGTTTTTCTGGGTCGTACTAAAAGAAAAAAAGAAGAAAAAAAAAGTTTAATTCAGTGTTTACTTCACTTAACTAATGTTTTTGGATTTGGTTCTGCTTTCAAAGGAAAATGGCTTTGCTAATAATGGTGGAAGAAATCATATTCTGAACGGCCTGAAGTCTCAAAATTACAGAAGATCTTAAATTGTGTTGCTTTATAAAAAAAAAGGAACATTTAACAATGTTGAAATGGAGAGCTTAATTTGGAACAGGACTGCCAATGGGATTAACAAAAAAAGGAGTTAACATGAACTAAGAGCATCTGACTTCTGAGACTCCACAGCAACAAAATCCTACCCAGAGGAAGTGTCAGACTGGCGCTGGCTCCAATTGGGAGTGATTTTTAAAACATCTTAGTCAAATGTTTGACAAGAAATGTGCTAAGGCATATCTCAGCACAGTTTTACTGATGATGACCATTTCTCTCTGTGTTTGCAATGCCCCAGAACAGAAATACATAGAGGTTGTGCAGCATCTAGGAAATCATTCTAGGAACCATTCCAGCAGGGCATACCTTAGATACAAGAGGAAAACCACTGCAGAAGCATGAACTGGTTGAGTCCAACTGGACAAAGCCGGCATTTAAGAGAAATCAAGTGCAATGACAACAATCATGTGCGGCTACCCGAAAGTCATTAACAAGCCCTGCTTTGAAGGGGGCTGTTGGAGGATTACAAAGAATTTGACATGTGGTTCCTAGTTTTATACAGAAAATTGGGGACACACACACACACACTAACTCAGCTGTGCCACAGGTTGGGATAACCTAAAAGCCTTCTTGCACGGGATGATGCGGAGCCGCTAATTGCAAACTCCTTTCCCCAGTGGTGTGATCCTGTCGGGGGCGCGGAGAGGGAGTGCAGCTGGCCCGCCATGGGAAGGCCAGGAGAGAAAGAAGGGAAGCGGGCTTCTCTTGGGGCTTGAACCCCAGGCTCACCCAGGGGCTGCGGAAGAAGCGGGGTAGCCTTGCTCAGGCCGGGCACCTACCGATGGAGGATCTTGTTGATGATGAGCTGGACCCAGGGCGCCGCGGGGTTGAGGCAGAGCTTGCGGCCGTCCTTCAGGGTGGCGCTGCGGGAAAGAGGGCAGAGGTGAGCGCGGGCGGGTCGGGCCGGGCCGGGAGAAGGGATAAGGGGGGGCGGCACTCACATGACTTCGGGCACGGGGCAGTGCGGCCCCTCGGCGATGAGCTCCACGTACCACCGGCCCGGCCCGGCCCGGCCCCGGCCCCGGCCCCGGCCCCTTCCCTTCCCTTCCCCTGTCCCTGTCCCCTCACCCCGGCAGAGCGCGGCGCAGGCGGCCAGCAGGGCGGCAAGGAGCAGGACGCGGCTCATGCTCATGCTCATGCTGATGTTGATGTGGGTGCGGGTGCGAGCGCTGGGAGAGGCGGAGAGCGGTGCCCTGCCCGGCGCCCGCCGCCCTTTTATCCGCCAGCACCAGCGCGGCCGCCGGGGCTTTCCCGGCGCAGGGCGGTGTCCAAGCCCTGCACGTGTGGGCAAGGAAGGTGCCCGGCGGGGCAGGTGCCGCGCGCTCCTTCCCACTTCTTTGGTTTCTTCAGTCGAGCCTGCCTGCCTGCGCAGGTGGCGGGGGTGGTGCACGGGTGCCGGAGCCCGCCGAGCCCCGAGCATGTCGGCTTCCCGCCCCCCTGCACTGCTGCACGTTGTTGGGTAGCAAACTGAAACACTCGCTAGGTTCCAAAGTCATTTCAGGTGAAATATGCCGCCAAACGTGCAAACACCAATGCCATGGAAGAGTTGCAAAAGGGCATTTAAGCCGCTTTAAAGGCGAATTTTGCATCCTTACTTACCCTCACCCTCTTCTGACATCCCCTGCTCCTCCCCGCTACAGAGGCATAACAAGGAAAATAGGTGCTCAGAGCAGTGGGCTACATGGGGGCAGCGGGGACTTCGGGTTGTCATTGTGCTGCTGGCGTGATTGTGCCCTTGTGAGAGCAGCTGTTATTCCTCTGGCCCTTTACACTGAGTCAGAGGCCGGGGCTGCTACCCAAGTTGCCCCACTCTAGCTACATGACTACCCCTTGGAATTGGGGCTTGAACCAAGCATTTCCTTAGTTTATGAAATATTCGTGGGACTACTCAGAAATATTAAAGCAATGGCTACTTTTCTGCCTACTGATTTTTATTTATTCTGTGTTGTACCTGATTTAAATGTGTGTCCTTCTACTGCAGTATGTCTTTATTTTACAAACAATCCAAATCTAACTATTCTGATTATTATAATCTGATTATAATATTATACTTCAATTGACCCATTCACAAATCCCTGTTTATTAACTTTTTCCCTGTAAACTCTTACAGTGACTCCCGTTCCTATAAATCAAGTCATGCAAGTACCAAACCTACAGTTTCATTATAAGAAGACTAACACCATAGTTTTTATTACAAACACCATAGTTTTTATTTCACTTTTGGTAATGCTATTTGCAAAACTGTAGAGGGCATTTTTATTTCCCAAGAGGAGAAAAACATGCCTTGGTACATTGTTCTGTAATGAAAAGAATGCAGAAGATTTAACTACAGAGTGAAGGAAGTCCATATGAACCTCAGAGCTGCCACTGCTGAAAGCAAAGGGAGATTTGAAAACACCCAAGGTGTTTGGGGGTTTTTGGGCCTTTTTTTTTTTTAAGCCTGGCAGTCCCATTCACCATTTTTCTTCTTTATTGGGAGGGATTTTCTGTAAAAACTGCCTGTAAGTTAACTCAAACAGTTGTCAAACTGGGTGAAATTCAGCAGGTCATTAACTTTGGGTGCATCACACTATAGTAAACTTGCAGTAGTTTCTTCCATGTATCATCCTCCCTGTGTAGAAATGAGATTGCTAAAGTGGCTCCAAACTGGGCCCCAGAAGTTCCCTGGTAGCGAATTCCTCATATCAGGAAAAGATCATTCATGCAGGAAACTAGTTTATGGGCAGGCTCTGATTGCCTCATCTCATGAAGAAATGTATAAAGTCATTTTTGGAATGTGAATGCTGTCATACACTCAAACTGTTAATTTTTCATGCTTGGAGGAGTATCAAAAATAGGGAATAGAAATTAGCCTTCACCTTTAACTCTCCCCTGGCTTCCTTTCTATGGCTTATATGATGCCATAAGTACCATAAAACGAATTCATTCCCATAAATAAGTAACTGTTTTTAAAAACACATGATCCTATGGCTCCACAAGGAAAGATGGACCCCTAAATGTAGGAGCGGCCCTAATCCCCACTTGCAAGCCACCTAAAGCCCTTCTGCTAAACAGTGTTTGGTTGGCCATGGGCAACTGGAAAGGACAACACCATGAAGCAGTCCCATTAGGCAGCATGCTGTCTTTGAAAAATAATGTGATTGCCAGTGAAAACAACAGAATATTATTGCTTATAGCATTCAGAACATGTCATAGATGCACCAGTGGTAAGAAGATCTGAGATCACATAGAGAACTAGGTGCTACTTGAGGATGTCCTGAGATCACAAGGTTGGAACCAGTTTCCCATAGCTTCTCAATAATCACAAGACTGGTGGTATAAGCACTCTGTTACCACTATATGGCTGCTGCCTCCTCTCATCACAGGAGATTGCACTATTCTCTGCAAGTCTATTAGCAAGCCTGGGTTATAGGTTAGTTGCCTACATTTGTACAAACACATACATTTGAACAACTCTAACCTATGTGAGTGAGGTAGCCCAAAACACTACCAGAAAATGCCTGTTTGTATCAGCCTAATTTGGCAGCTAACAAGCTCTACAGGATTCAGGTCAAGAGGTCAAAGGCACTTTGTTAGACTGTCCATGCTCAAATTTGATCTTATGGGGAAGGTTACATGTATTCTTGGGTTTTTTTGTTCATCTTTTTTTTTGCCTAAAAGGGATGATGTGCCCCATATTATTTCAAAGGTCTCTATTAATCAGAATAGCATAATACTGGTAGGAAATCATATCACAGTTTTGTCTGAGGAAGAGCTGTAGGACCTGATCCTATAGTAAAATATTATGATGTTTGTTTTATTTAATAAAGCCTCCATGTGTGGGTCTTCGTTTTAAAACTTAGAATTTAGCTTTATTCAGTAAAGCAAACAGACAAAGAACACTAGGCAGTCTTATGAATTGTGTCCAGAAATGCACTCCCTTTTAAAGTAAGTATTGTCCCTGAAGTACTGTCCCCAGAAACTGAATAGCAAAGCTGAGATTCATGCTAGGTTACCTAAAACTTTGTGTGCATCATTACCAGGAAAAAAGTTTGGCCAACTGTGACTAATTGGAACTAGTGAACAATGATGATGAAGGAGATGATGCACAATAAGGAATAAACTCTAGTTCTTTTCCTTTTAGCTATATTGCCCCTGCTAAGCTAGCAGTAAAAAAAACACCCAGCAAAACATATTTAGGCCCCAATCCAGCAGTTGGATCCATGTAAGTAGACTTCTGCAGCTTCTCACATGACCAGTGAAGTCCATGGCCACGTCCACATGTGCATAGACATTTGGTTCCCTGGGACAACTAGCAGTGGTGCACCTTGTGCTGCCCCTAGCACGCCCTCTGGCATGCAACAAGTTACCCTGGCTGGGGTAGGGGAGCCTGGGGCCAGCACTGGGGTCCTGGGAACTTTCTGGGGCTGCAGCAGTGGTGATCCTGCCATGAGGAGCCCAGCTGGCAGTGGAGTGCAGCTTCGGCTGCCCAAGCTCTAGTTTATTCTGTGTTGTACCTGATTTAAATATGTGTCCTTCTACTGCAGTATGTCTTTATTTTATGAGCAATCCAAATCTAACTATTCTGATTATAATAATCTGATTATAATATTATACTTCGATGGACCCATTCACAAATACCTGTTCATTAACTTTTTCCTGTAAACTAACTCTTACAGTGACTCCCATTCCTATAAATTAAGTCATGCAAGTTCCAAATACCAAACCCACAGTTTCATTATAAGACTAACACCATAGTTTTTATTACACTTTTGGTTATGCTATTGGCAAAACTGTAGAGGGCATTTTTATTTCCCTAGAGGCCTTGGTACATTGTCCTGTAATGAAAAGAATGCAGAAGATTTAATACAGAGTGAAGGGAGTCCATATGAACCTCAGAGCTGCCACTGCTGAAAGCAAAGGGAGATTTGAAAACACCCAAGGTGTTTGGGGGTTTTGGGTTTGTTTTTTTTTAAGTCTGGCAATCCCATTCACCATTTTTCTTCTTCATCAGGAGGAATTTTCTGTAAAAACTGCCTGTAAATTAATTCAAACAATTGTCAAACTGGGTGAAATTCAGCAGGTCATTAACCTTGGGTGCATGCACCGCTCCGTTTTTTTTCCCCCCGTGGGTTTTTTTGACCCCTGAATACCCACATACTGCATGGCCATGCTCGTTTGGACATGACCCATGTGACTGTGTACACAGAGATCTGTGTGCCTAGATCCAACGCAGGCAGGATTGGACCTTTTGTTACTAACATCATGAGGTATTACTTTAACTAAATACGTGGAGCACATGAAGAGAGTAAGAAATTGTAATTTGTACATAGTCACTTGATGGAGTGCAACTGTAAATTAAGCATTGTTTTTGGATTGTCCGCATGAATAATGGCTATTCACATGAATACGTTGGATTTTATGCCTGACAGGCTGTTCAGAATGTCTGAAGCAAACTACTGATTCCTAAGTTGTTACTGTTGGGGAAATTCCAGAAAGTCTCCTGTGGTCCGAGACATGAAGCTGGTGTTTTCGAAATGGAATAGCTTGTGCTTTAGAGGGAGGTGCCTTGTGCCAAAACTAGCATCAGTCAGGGATGTATCATAAGCATGCTGCGATTCAGATCAGTGCTATGGAGTGAGTCCTCTCTCACGCAAATTAGTTTTGCACGCGTGAAAGCCCTAGCTGACATCAGTAAGAAAATTCCCATTAGTAAACTCCTTTTGTGAGTAAGGACATGCTAGATTGGGGCAGCAACTCTCACCTGGGGTGCCTTGGTACTTTAGGGTGCAGTGAGACCCTTTTAAGGGTCTCGTGGGGAGTTGTACAATATCAGTGCTGTTGGGTGTGAAAACCTACATGATAACCCAGAAATTTCAAATAGGAATCAAGAGTGCCAAAGACACTCTGAGGTGTGTTCTTTGAAATAGAATTGCTCCATTATTTTTTCATAACCAAAAAACAAGTGAAACCTAAAAGCTACATGGACAGCATTTTCCAAAGGGTTCATTGAGTCTAAAAAATGTTGCGAACCATTGAATAGGGCATTCTATGTCCCACGATACCATCCTTCAAAATGATGTGGGTAAATAATCTACATTCTTTCATAGTTGGTAGGGTAGGGTCGGAAGGGACCCAAGCAGTTCATCAAGTCTGACCCCTTGCCATGGCAGGAAAGAGTACTGGGGTCAAACGGACCCGGCAAGGTGTTCATCCA